GGACCGGTTTCCCGGGGCGCTCTTGGGGGGCCTCTTGGAGGCCTCTTGGGGCGGTTTGATGGCCTCGTGTCCCTTCTGGAAGCGATCTTTGGCGGTCTTGAAGCGATCCTGGGCTTCTGTCGGCGCTCTTGGAGCCTTCTTTGGCGGACTGGGAGGCCCGGGGGCCGCCCGAGGAGCGTCCCGGGAAGCCTTCCTGGGCTGTCTTCGGGCTATCCTAGGGCGCCTCGTGGGGCTTTCGGACCGCTCCGACAGCCAAGGGAGCTGATATCCTAAAAATGTACGTTTTACGAAGGGAATGGGGCCATTTTGGTCTCCCGGGGCGCTCTTGGGGGGCCTCTTGGAGGCCTCTTGGGGCGGTTTGATGGCCTCTTGGCCCTTCTGGAAGCGATCTTTTGCGGTCTTGAAGCGATCCTGGGGTTCTCTCGGCGCTCTTGGAGCCTTCTTGGGCGGACTGGGCAGCCCGGGGGCCGCCAGAGGAGCGTCCCGGGAGGGCCTCCTGGGCCGTCTTGGGGCTGTCCTCAGTCGTCCTGGAGCGTCCTTGGGCGCCTCGTGGGGCTTTCGGGCCGCTCCGACAGCTAAGGGAGCTGATATCGTAAAAATGTACGTTTTACGAGGGGAATGGGGCTATTTTGGTCTCCCGGGGCGCTCGTGGGGGGCCTCTTGAAGGCCTCTTGGGGCGGTTTGAGCGCGTCTTGACCCTTCTGGAAGCGATCTGTGGCGGTCTTGAAGCGATCCTGGGGTTCTCGGCGCTCCTGAAGCCCTCTTTGGGCGGGCTGGAACGCGCGGGGGCCGCCGGAAGGGCGCCCCGGGAGAGGGCCGCACCCTATATACAAGGGAGGTTCCGGCCCGGGGCCCGGGGCCCGGGATCTCCCATATGTATATATATATATATATATATATATATATATATATATATATATATATATATATATATATATATATATATATACTAGAACCTTCGCGCGCGCTTCGCGCGCTTAGGTTCTAGCCAACCCCAGCCTTGGACAAGGTCAAAGCTGCACGTATGGAAGGCCCGCAGATCGTGCGAACATGAGTTCAGGAAGTGGCAAGCACGCAACCAGACCAAATACGTTATATGTATGCATGTATGTATGATTGTATCCATATATATATACATAGATATGTGTATACATGTATATACACACACTTACATACATACGTGTGTGTATATGTACATGCACACATACATACATAAATGTATACATGGACGCATGCATGAATACACACGGAAAAACAAACACACACATACGTTCATACATGCATACGTTTGAAGGAGAGGCGGCAACGTGCTCCGGCAGCACGTTTCCGGAGCATGTTGTGCGAGAGGCGTCGTACCAGAATACGCCCAGAGTGGCCAGCAGACGGCCCAAGAACCTTTGGAGACCGCTTCTGAGGGGATCTCCTGGGAGCGCCTTGGGGGCTTCTTGGCGGCCTTGTGGGGCCTCCTGGCGGCCTCTTGAGGTAGAAGGCTGGAGCTTTGGGTGCACGGTTGTCCACTGAAGTCTTCATTAGGCACCGAACGCTGGAAGGAGAGGCGGCAACGCGCTCCGGCAGCGCGTTTCCGGAGCATGTTTGGGGGACCTCGGTGGGCAGTTTTGAAGCCTCTCGGAAGCCGTTTTGGGGCCTCTCGAGGTCTCTTTTGGGCCTCTCGGGGGCCTCTTAGTGGCCTTCTGGGCTGTCTTCGGGGCCTCTGGGGGCTTCCTGGGGGCATCTTGGGGCGGAGAGCTCGACTGTTCGGTGCGTGTTCCCTCTCTTGGGCCGCTCTTGGCGCCTTCTTGGGGCTCTCCTGGGCTGTCTTGGGCGGGCCTGGGGACAGTCTTAAGGCTCTCTTGGGCCGTCTTCGGCCTATCTTGGGGGTCTCTTGGGCTGTCTTGGAGCGGTCTGGGGAGCCTCTGGGCCAGTCTAGGAGCGTCGGAAAGCCGAAACAGCGAGGAAGCAAACAACATTGGAAAAAAAACAAAGGAAAATCAACTATTTTCGCCTCTCTGACCGCTTGTCGGCGGCATCTTCGCGCCTCTTGGGGCGTCATGGGGGACGTCCTCGGCAGCTCCAGACGCATCGTGGGCCCCTGGAGACACCTGCAGGCGGTCTTGGGAGCGTCTCGAGAACGTCTGGGGCCGCCGGGACGGCTGCCCGAGGGCTCCTGCGGCCTTCCACGGGTCCTCTTCGGCCGTCATGGGCGGGTCTGGGGGCAGTCTTGGGGCTCTCTTGGGCCGTCTAGGAGCGCTGTTGGAGGCTCCTGGGCGTGTTTTTTTTTTCTGCGAGACTCGATCGTGTCAGAGGCCAATCGCCTGCAGACAGCGAGGGCGCGGAGAAGAGCACTGCACAACAGCTGTGAGCGTTCAAGGGCCGAACGCTTGCAGACAGGGGGGGGGGCTGTGGAGAAGAGTGCGGCACGCCAATACAATGTCAAATATACACTTGAAATAGGCGAATAAATGTTCCGCCGCCGGCGTCGTCGAGGAGGAAGAGGAGAAGGTGCGAGAAAGAGGACGAGGAGGAGGGACGAAGAAGGGAAGAGAGAGACACGCAGAGCTAGACGCTGTCGATCTCCATGGAAAGAATGATGCGCAAAGCTAAAGAGTTACCAAACGTCGAAGAAGCCAGAGCGTTCCAAAATCGACAACGGTCTGAACTTGATTTTGAACTTCTCGAAGCTCTGTTTCTGACAGTTGCCGACATCCCTGCTCTTCTCGTCGAACAAATTGGCTATTTGGGACCGCTCTGCGAAGTGCACTATGCCCTGCCACTCCTCCTCGTCACGCGGGTAGGCGCGAGCCGATATCACGCAGGCTCGATTCGAGATGAGCTGCGCCATGCGGAATGCCGTCAACGCATTAGTACTTGGGCAACAATTCTCATTCCTGTACGTGACCAATTGCACCGGATAGTCTGTGAAGAACCCAATGAAATCTTCTGCCGTGTGGATATTATTCTTGCTGACTAACTTGGCACCGAACACATCGCGGTACATTGGCTCCAACGGGGCTCCTCTATCATCGCGACGGCTACCCCAACTGCCTAAGAAACCAACATTCTCCACATGTGCCTCCTGCTTCGCCACGCTAACGCCAAAGTCCAAGGCCTGCGCATACCCTGGGGGCACGTATCGGTTTTTAACACGTCTCCAAGATTCGGGGTAGTTGTCCAAATTCGCACGCGAGTAATCCCAGATCTCGTCGCACAAACCATCGCACATCCGGAGGTGCTAGTGAAAATCAGACATCTCTGTCTGATAGAAGACGACAAACGCACCAAGACCTCTGCACTTCCGCAAGAGCGACAACGGTGCATCCGCACCAGTGAAAAAGATCGCGAGTGCCACAATGAGTGGCTTCTGGCCACGTGCGACTGCGGCGGTGATATTCTCTAACATAGCACTTCTGCTGTCATCCGAATCCAAATTGTCCTTGGACACGAAAGCAACTTTGGCGCCGTGATCGCGCAAAGCCTCGCCCACTGTGAGCATGACTGGGTCATACATAAATCTTATTGCATCGCCACTATGGTGCATGTTCCAGATCCACGCGTTCTTGGGAGCTGCCGTCGGCCACTTATCTGGCGTTGGCACTGCCGTCGACACGGAAGACAAATACCCAAGATTCACCGCTGCTGGAACTCTCATTATTCCATACACGAGCAAGGTGAGCAGATGAAATGATGCCATCTGCCTCTGAAGACGCCAGCAGGGTATGTGAACTGATGTGAACTGATGTGCCTTGAGAGCCCAACTGGCTTGAGCCAAAATGGCTACGGAAGGCTCCTGGGCGGTCTTGGAGCGGTCTAGGGAGCCTCTGCGGCGGCCCTGGAGCGTCGGGAAATCAACACAGCGAGGAAGCAAAAACATTGAACATACTCATGACATTCAAAGATTTTCGCCTCTCTGGCCGCTCGTCGGCGGCATCTTCACGCCTGTTGGGGCGTCTTGGGGGACGCCCTCGGCAGCGTAAGACGCATCGCGGGCCGCTGGAGACACCTGGAGGCGGTCTTCGGAGCGTTTCGAAACCGTCTGGGGCCGCCGGGACGGCTGTCCGAAGGTTCCTGGAGCCTTCTTGGGCTCTCCTGGGCCGTCCTGGGCGAGTCTGGGGGCAGTCTTGGGGCTCTCTTGGGCCGTCTTTGGGCTCTCTTGGGAGCCTCTGGGGCCGTCTTCGAGCGGTCTCGGGAGCCTCTTGGGCGGTCTTGGAGCGTCGGAAAGCCGAAACAGGGAGAATGCCAAAAACATAGAAAAAAAAAAAAACAAGACAAAACAACGATTTGGGGCCGCCAGACTGGTGCCTCGGACCCCCATGGGGGCCACGGGGCTCCAGGACGCTCCCGGGGGCCCGAACCTCGACCACACATGTGGAGCCCGGGGCCCGGGCCGCCCCTGAGAAGGCTAAAATCGCCGTCGGGAGCCCTCAGACAGCCGTCCGGGCAGCCCTGGACAGTCTCGAGACGTTCCCCAGACCGCCTCCAGGCGTCTCCCTCCGCCCACGATGCGTTTTAAACTACCCAGGAAGCCCCCCCAAGACGTCCCAAGACGCTTCAAGATGCCGCCCCAGAGCGGCCCGAAAGGCCCAAATCGTTGTTTTGTCTTGGTTTTTTTTTCTATGTTTTTGGCATTCTCCCTGTTTCGGCTTTCCGACGCTCCAAGACCGCCCAAGAGGCTCCCGAGACCGCTCGAAGACGGCCCCAGAGGCTCCCAAGAGAGCCCAAAGACGGCCCAAGAGAGCCCCAAGACTGCCCCCAGACTCGCCCAGGACGGCCCAGGAGAGCCCAAGAAGGCTCCAGGAACCTTCGGACAGCCGTCCCGGCGGCCCCAGACGGTTTCGAAACGCTCCGAAGACCGCCTCCAGGTGTCTCCAGCGGCCCGCGATGCGTCTTACGCTGCCGAGGGCGTCCCCCAAGACGCCCCAACAGGCGTGAAGATGCCGCCGACGAGCGGCCAGAGAGGCGAAAATCTTTGAATGTCATGAGTATGTTCAATGTTTTTGCTTCCTCGCTGTGTTGATTTCCCGACGCTCCAGGACCGCCGCAGAGGCTCCCTAGACCGCTCCAAGACCGCCCAGGAGCCTTCCGTAGCCATTTTGGCTCAAGCCAGTTGGGCTCTCAAGGCACATCAGTTCACATCAGTTCACATACCCTGCTGGCGTCTTCAGAGGCAGATGGCATCATTTCATCTGCTCACCTTGCTCGTGTATGGAATAATGAGAGTTCCAGCAGCGGTGAATCTTGGGTATTTGTCTTCCGTGTCGACGGCAGTGCCAACGCCAGATAAGTGGCCGACGGCAGCTCCCAAGAACGCGTGGATCTGGAACATGCACCATAGTGGCGATGCAATAAGATTTATGTATGACCCAGTCATGCTCACAGTGGGCGAGGCTTTGCGCGATCACGGCGCCAAAGTTGCTTTCGTGTCCAAGGACAATTTGGATTCGGATGACAGCAGAAGTGCTATGTTAGAGAATATCACCGCCGCAGTCGCACGTGGCCAGAAGCCACTCATTGTGGCACTCGCGATCTTTTTCACTGGTGCGGATGCACCGTTGTCGCTCTTGCGGAAGTGCAGAGGTCTTGGTGCGTTTGTCGTCTTCTATCAGACAGAGATGTCTGATTTTCACTAGCACCTCCGGATGTGCGATGGTTTGTGCGACGAGATCTGGGATTACTCGCGTGCGAATTTGGACAACTACCCCGAATCTTGGAGACGTGTTAAAAACCGATACGTGCCCCCAGGGTATGCGCAGGCCTTGGACTTTGGCGTTAGCGTGGCGAAGCAGGAGGCACATGTGGAGAATGTTGGTTTCTTAGGCAGTTGGGGTAGCCGTCGCGATGATAGAGGAGCCCCGTTGGAGCCAATGTACCGCGATGTGTTCGGTGCCAAGTTAGTCAGCAAGAATAATATCCACACGGCAGAAGATTTCATTGGGTTCTTCACAGACTATCCGGTGCAATTGGTCACGTACAGGAATGAGAATTGTTGCCCAAGTACTAATGCGTTGACGGCATTCCGCATGGCGCAGCTCATCTCGAATCGAGCCTGCGTGATATCGGCTCGCGCCTACCCGCGTGACGAGGAGGAGTGGCAGGGCATAGTGCACTTCGCAGAGCGGTCCCAAATAGCCAATTTGTTCGACGAGAAGAGCAGGGATGTCGGCAACTGTCAGAAACAGAGCTTCGAGAAGTTCAAAATCAAGTTCAGACCGTTGTCGATTTTGGAACGCTCTGGCTTCTTCGACGTTTGGTAACTCTTTAGCTTTGCGCATCATTCTTCCCATGGAGATCGACAGCGTCTAGCTCTGCGTGTCTCTCTCTTCCCTTCTTCGTCCCTCCTCCTCGTCCTCTTTCTCGCACCTTCTCCTCTTCCTCCTCGACGACGCCGGCGGCGGAACATTTATTCGCCTATTTCAAGTGTATATTTGACATTGTATTGGCGTGCCGCACTCTTCTCCACAGCCCCCCCCCCTGTCTGCAAGCGTTCGGCCCTTGAACGCTCACAGCTGTTGTGCAGTGCTCTTCTCCGCGCCCTCGCTGTCTGCAGGCGATTGGCCTCTGACACGATCGAGTCTCGCAGAAAAAAAAAACGCCCAGGAGCCTCCAACAGCGCTCCTAGACGGCCCAAGAGAGCCCCAAGACTGCCCCCAGACCCGCCCATGACGGCCGAAGAGGACCCGTGGAAGGCCGCAGGAGCCCTCGGGCAGCCGTCCCGGCGGCCCCAGACGTTCTCGAGACGCTCCCAAGACCGCCTGCAGGTGTCTCCAGGGGCCCACGATGCGTCTGAAGCTGCCGAGGACGTCCCCCATGACGCCCCAAGAGGCGCGAAGATGCCGCCGACAAGCGGCCAGAGAGGCGAAAATAGTTGATTTTCCTTTTTTTTCCAATGTTGTTTGCTTCCTCGCTGTTTCGGCTTTCCGACGCTCCTAGACTGGCCCAGAGGCTCCCCAGACCGCTCCAAGACAGCCCAAGAGACCCCCAAGATAGGCCGAAGACGGCCCAAGAGAGCCTTAAGACTGTCCCCAGGCCCGCCCAAGACAGCCCAGGAGAGCCCCAAGAAGGCGCCAAGAGCGGCCCAAGAGAGGGAACACGCACCGAACAGTCGAGCTCTCCGCCCCAAGATGCCCCCAGGAAGCCCCCAGAGGCCCCGAAGACAGCCCAGAAGGCCACTAAGAGGCCCCCGAGAGGCCCAAAAGAGACCTCGAGAGGCCCCAAAACGGCTTCCGAGAGGCTTCAAAACTGCCCACCGAGGTCCCCCAAACATGCTCCGGAAACGCGCTGTCGGAGCGCGTTGCCGCCTCTCCTTCCAGCGTTCGGTGCCTAATGAAGACTTCAGTGGACAACCGTGCACCCAAAGCTCCAGCCTTCTACCTCAAGAGGCCGCCAGGAGGCCCCACAAGGCCGCCAAGAAGCCCCCAAGGCGCTCCCAGGAGATCCCCTCAGAAGCGGTCTCCAAAGGTTCTTGGGCCGTCTGCTGGCCACTCTGGGCGTATTCTGGTACGACGCCTCTCGCACAACATGCTCCGGAAACGTGCTGCCGGAGCACGTTGCCGCCTCTCCTTCAAACGTATGCATGTATGAACGTATGTATGTGTTTGTTTCCGTGTGTATTCATGCATGCGTCCATGTATACATTTATGTATGTATGTGCGCATGTACATATACACACACGTATGTATGTAAGTGTGTGTATATACATGTATACACATATCTATGTATATATATATGGATACAATCATACATACATGCATACATATAACGTATTTGGTCTGGTTGCGTGCTTGCCACTTCCTGAACTCATGTTCGCACGATCTGCGGGCCTTCCATACGTGCAGCTTTGACCTTGTCCAAGGCTGGGGTTGGCTAGAACCTAAGCGCGCGAAGCGCGCGCGAAGGTTCTATATATATATATATAATATATATATATATATATATTATGTGTATGTGTGTGCGTGTGTGTCCCTGGGCCCCCCTTCGCCCGACGCCAGCAGATGTCTTTTGGCGTTCCCCGATCGGCCACAGCGCTGGCAGGGTCTGGGGAAAGGAAGCGCGAGTCGCTCCAGGGCATGCATTAAGTCGGGCATGTCCTGCGCCGGGGGACGACGCTGATCGGCAAAACAACCAATATGAAAACGACCACCACGCTGATGGGCTACCCACAGCGGCTTGGCATTCGGGGACCCGACGACAACAGATGTCTGAGGGCACTTAGCGGTACCGGTCTGTATGTATCATGAGGGTTTCCCCCGATCGGCCACAACCAGGGGAGCCGTGGTCCCCATCGCTGGCACGGCGCCCGGGAAAAGAAGTTGCGAGAGTCGTTCCAGGGCATGTTCCAAGTCGGGCGCGTCGTTCTACAGGAGGAATATTTCTAGGCCGCCCAGATGAGGTCGGAGTAGATGGGGTCGGAGGATCGCGCCACAACGCCGATGCACCGGCGATGCATAGGCGATGCATCGGCGATGCATCGGCGATGCGGCTCGATGTGGGGCCAAATTTTCTCCACGCCGACCTCGCCGATGCGTCGCCGACGCCGCCAGCGCATCGCCGATGCACCGGCGATGCATTGGCAATGCATCGCCGATGCATCGGCGAGGCTGCGGGATCCTCCGAACCCGTCTTCTCGGACCCCATCCAGGAGGCCTATGATACTCAGGAGTAGTAGGGAAAATCTGGGGACGATTGTCCGTGTTCTCCCTGGACTATGTTCGAGTAATTTTGAAGTTCTTTATCTTATCTCTCTTACAAAAACTGCCAAATTGACCCCACTCCTGACCAGCGAAGCTTCTTGGCGGTCTTTTGTCCGCACATCTAAGCTGTCAACATAACGCAATGTAGCCCGACTGTAGTATTGAATCTGCAACTTTTCCCCATCCCGTGTCCTGCGCGCCTCCGGGTGTATGGCTTCTTGCTTGCTTGCTTCAAAATCCGCCTGTAGGATGAGATGCCCGACCTCAGCTCCAGGGCCGTCTCAGAGGCCATCTTGAGCGTCTTGGAGGCCTCTTGGGCCGTCTTTGTGCCCTCTTGGGGCCGTCTTGGGGGGTTCTTGGGCAGTCCTGAGGCCATCTTTGAGGCCTCTTGGGCGCTGTGGAGGCGATCTTGGGGGCCTCTTGGGTCGTCGGAAAGCCGAGGAGAAGCGAATGCGAAAATCTTTTATAAACCTAAGGCACATCAATGATTCTGGCACCCAAGGCAGGCCGTGCAAGCGTTTGCCGGAGCGCTCCAGGACGCTCTGGAGCGGCCCCTGGCGCACGAGGCTTGCCTCCGGGCCCGCCCGCTCCGGGAGGCCGTGGGGCCCGCCCGCTCCGGGAGGCCGTCTGCTGCTTGCCGCCGTCCGGCCTTGCCCCCCAGGGCCACAGCTTCCCTGCAGTCAAGCTGTATAGTAAGTCCGAGGAGGGGAAAGGTACCCATACCGCTACCCCTCGCCAGTGTCTTCCTCTTTGGGCCTCCTGGGAGGCCCTCGTCGCCACCGCTGGATTCGCCTCGAAATTCTAGAAGCTTCGCGTATCCCCACCAGCGTGGTCCGCGTCTTCCTGTGCGGATTTTGACCTGGCCGCCCGAATAAAGTGACATTTTGTCCTGAGCACGTGCAAGAGCTTGCAGTGCGCCCGTCAGTTCAGCTTCACCCAGCCAGCAGCTGCCGTCTGAGTGGGCTGGCCGGCCTGCGCCTGTCCTAGCTAATTTGCCCAGTTCGCGTCCCGGACTTTGCTTTCGCCGCCTGTCCGTCGTCTGGTGGCCGCGACCGAAAAAGTATCCCCACCAGCTTCCGTGACATTTTGTCCTGTGCACGTGCCCGAGCTTGCAGTGCGCCGTTCAGTTCAGCTCCACCCGTCAGCTCGCAGTTGCTGTCTGAGTGGGATGGCCGGCCTGCGCCTGTCTTTGCTAATTCGCCTAGTTCGCGTCCCGGACTTTGCTCTCGCCGCGTGACCTTCGTCTCGCGGCCGCGACCGAAAAATGTCCCCACCAGCTAGGCAGCTTAGGTTCGGCCGTCGGTCCCCGTGCGCTAGGCAATTAGGTTCGCGCGTAGCCCGCCCGACCTCTGACGCCGCTGGCGCGCTCGCCTGCGGCCTCGACGGAAAAGTACCCCCACCAGCCCATCCAGAAACGATGTCCAGGCGAGTTGAGAGGTGATCAGGGAAGTGCGGGAGCAAAGAGGGGGACGGCCGAACCGTGTGAAGGAGAGAGGGCGCGAAGGAGAAAATTGGATGGATGGATGCGGGAGTAGGGAGAAGGAGGATGAGTAGGATGATGAGGAGGAAGAGGAGGAGGCGAAGGGGGGGGAGGAGGATGAGAAAGGATAGGAGGAGGAAGGAAGAGGAAGAGAGCAAGCAATAGGGCCAGAGGTCTCTTGGATGCTTCTCGGAGCCTCTTGGGGCTTCACTTGGGCGTCATGGGACGTCTTGGGGGTCTCTTGGCGGTCGTGGGGGGCTCTTCGGCGTCTCGGGTGCCTCGGGGGTCCTCTTGGGGCCGTTTGGGATCCTTTTTGGGAGCCTCCTGGGGGCCTCCTGGGGGCCTCTTGGGGCCATTTTGGGGCCATCTTGGGACCTCTTGGGGCCTCCTGGGCGCTTCTTGGGACCATCTTGGAGGAGATCGAACAAGAGGGGGGGTCACAATTTGCGTCCCCCCTCCAAGAGGCCAACATGGGGCCAAAACCTGGGTAAAACCAATGATTATGGCTTCCTCGCCGAGGCCGTTTTGGACGCTCCGACACCTCGCGGAATCTTTTGTCCAGGTCCAGGGGAGGGGGTAGGGGGAGGGGTAAACCCCTCCCCGAAGGGGGAGAAGGAGGGGTGGAAGAGGAATCTCCCTAAACCACCGACGCCCAAAGGGTTGGTGGGATTCTGGTCAGAACGCACCCCGGGAGGGGTCCCAGGATCAGAGCTTCCCTACAGTCTCGGCACGAACGAGATGGGCACGGAAAGAATGGGTACAATGCCCAACAGTTCTTGTTCATTTTGAACCGGACTCGCTGTCCGCGCCGCCGCGGCCTGTGCCCATTTGAGAGACAGAAGGCCGCTTGCCCAACAGCGGCCGCTGTTGGTTTGGGGCAATATTTGTTGTTGGGCATTGTACCCATGTTTTCCGTGCCAATTTCCAGCGTCCAAACAGTCAATCAGCATAGCAGGGATGGGCAATCTTCTCAAGGGTACCTTTTGCATCATTGCCTTCAGAGGAGTAACATGTACCCATTCCTGTATATTATTTCCTAGTTGTCTTCTCCTTTTTGGGCTTCCTCGGGGGCCCTCGTCGCCACCGCTGGATCGGCCTTGAAATTCTGGTCAGAACGCGCCCCGAGAGAGGTCCAGGGAGTAGCGCTATCTGTACCTTTTGGTTTCCCCATGCGTCCTCGGTCCATATCTGGCCGCTGTCGCTGGCCGCGCCCCACTCGAAAAGCTCACTGCGAATCTTTCTGATACGGGCCGGCTGTAGTTGTGACGCAGCGCTGGGCTGGCCAGGTTGGACCAGAACTGATGCTGCTGCTCAGCCTTCTCTGCTGCTCGGCTCGTCTTCCCGCCGCGTCCACTTCCCCTCTCCTCCCCAGGAACAGACGACCAGCACGTTTTTGTCCGTGACGCTAGATG